GGGCTAGCAGAACAGGCCATTATTCAATACCTTTGAAAAAAGGATTGTTGCCTCAGCTTAACAAAGGAAGAAAACAAAGAATGGAGAGATTATGTCCTTGAACCTTGCACTGTGCAGGTTTCTAGACCCCTGTATGTATTAGGCTTCTACAAATATTTTTTAAAAATCTCAATTTTTTTAGCATCATTAAAGATATGTTAAGACACCTTTCTTCAGGTACAGTCCTAGTGCAGACCGGTCCCAAGTAGTTTTTATATCAGTGTAGCCAGTCAAGGCCAGTGATATCTTTCTTACTTGGAGTTGATGTGAACCAGCTACACTAAGATAAGGAAATACAGCACTTTGCTTCCTTAAGATTTTACATCATGTTAGACTGACTAGGGCTCTTCATTTACCGCTGTACAAGGTACAGTGCTAGAATATTGTACCTGAGTAAAAATCATTTTTATTGCAATGATATAGCTTTATATATCTCACTGTTCCCCCTTCTTTTTCTTTTGTGCTTGCTAGCACTTAAAAGCACCAATAAAGACACAACATTTCACAGAAAGTATCTGCCAAATTCAGTTATTCTGCTGTGAGTCTGAAGGGTGAGAAAAAAATCTTCAGTATTATCAAAATGAATTGTGTTTGTTTAGAGTGTAAACACTGTAGTTCCTTTCTTGAGTGTGTCTTCTGTTTCCTTTGGTATACTGTTTCATCCATCTGTAGTAAAGCAGAATACTATAAGAAAAAGAGAATTTTAACATTTCTATCCATTTCTCTTAGGGAATTTAACCTATCAGGTAATTTGAAAATGGTGTAGACAAACCACTCCGTAGCATACCTTAGTGAGTAATGCTCTGCTCTAAAAGGTTGAACAAAATTAACATTGTCCTTTTTTGAGTCATGTGGTGCTCTCATTGTCCTTTTTTGAGTAATGTAGTGCTCTGAAAGCCAAAGTCTCTGAAGTCCATTGAAAATTGTTTGTAAACAGAATTTGTCTCGCCATATAACTATTCCTGTTCCTAACACTTCTGCATCTTTTACTGCATGAACACATAGAAAGTAGAAGGAAATATAAGTGGTGTGAGAAAAACTGTAACTTCATATGTTCTCCTCCTTCCGAATATGATTGTAGTAGTTGCTATTCCCTAGGGACTCCAGTAACATTTGTGGAAGTGGTCAGTGGAAAGGAATGAGAAATAACACAAGACATCTTTATACTGCTGGTTTCTCTTTATCCAAAATGCTTAGAGAAATATTTTAAAGGTGTGAAAAAAATAGGTGTGCTACAGCTCTGATATATCTGCATAGCACCCAAGTCCTTTTTAAAAAGAAATGCTTCTCCTCCACTTTCATCATCAGTGGAGCACCCAATGTCCAAATAAACATTGAAGACTGCAGAAGATGTTTCTTTCCTGACAATATCTGCATCTGCCTGATAGAGCTATGTCACAGTATTGTCTGCTGCCACTGCATCAGGAAGATTTTTCCTGCTGCAAAAACATTTTCATTAATTTGTGTTCTGACAGTATATGTTCTAAATATGTGATCACTCATTACCCCTCTTGTTTACATGAGCCTAAAGAAGATGAGTCAGGTCCACTGCAGCCAGTTTGTATGTGTTCTGGTGACTTGTGTTCCTTAAAACATAAGCAGCATGTCTCCTTGGCAATGCTGATTTTTGCTCATTTTAGCTACTGGAAGACCTCTACTGTACAAAGGACATACAAATACATATTTGCTTTGTCCCTGTACCTGTGGGTTATTTATTGTGCCTTAGTCTCAGCCTATTGGCTTTGAGTGACTGCAAAAACCACAAAAGTAAAAGGGAAATTCATTACCCTCTTTTACATGTTTAACACCAACATCTTACTTCTTACATCAAGTCTTTAAAATTAATATAGTGATCTTTTCAAGCTCTACGCTATATTAATAAACAAGAAAATTTCTGGCAGCATTACGAAGAACCTGCTGTGCCCTTGGTCTATACTAAAGTTGACTCTACCATTTTGGTATTCATGCTCTTATAATAAATAGCATTCAGTTGCAGGTGCAACACTGCAGCAATTTCTGTACATTTTGACTTTGAGCTTGGAAATTTGTAGCCCTAGCATCAGGATATTTTTAACAGTCTGAAATAATATATTTTAAATAAATTTACCTAGGCATGAAAGATCACATCTTCTTAATATGATGATATTTGTGATAGGCCTGAGACTGTCATGGAATTGTGGTATCCTGCCTAGAGGCAGGACAATCTCCTTTACATTAGGACAGTGGTTGTGACACACAGGCACAGTGTGCCAGGAAGAAGATTTGACTTTATGCCACTTTACTTGTTTGGCTGGGGGCATAAACAGGTGCCTTTTTCTGTGTTAAGTAATGCATTATTTCTAAAGCATTTGGAATCCAAAGTGGGAAGGTGTAGTATAAATGCCATGTCTAATGCTGTAAATTTACTAGACATAAGTTCTGTACAAAAGACCGAAGACTTTGAAAGAAAAGATGAGAAAAGCAAATGTATGCTGCCCCTAAATTGTTTAATGATTGCCTCGAGTGTGATACTTGCAAATGTTCCTGTATATGACATTGTTAAAACTGGTATGTGTTTCATACAAAATCACAGCACGTATGTCATGGAAATATGTAGATGGGAAAAGACCGCCCGGGGTGATCCAGTCCTACCTCTTGATCGGTGCAGGTCCAATTAGAGCAGGTTGCACAGGGCCATCTCCAGTCAAGTTGGACTATATCCAAGGATGCTGATGCCACAGTGTTTCTTGGCAATCTAGCCCAGTGTTTGACCACCCTCAAGGTAATTTTTTTTCCTTATGTTGAGTTGGAATTTCACATAGTTCAGCTTGTATCCACTGCCTCTTGTCATGTCCCTGTGCACCTCTGTGAGGAGCCTCATTCCATCTTCCCTACCCCCTCTTTTTTGGTAGCTGCAGGTAGCAATAAGCTCTTGCCTTCAACTGCTATTCCCCAGACTGTGCAAACCCAGCTCTCTCAACTTCTTGTATATCTTGTATTTCATGCTGCAGCCTCCTAGTTGTCCTGCTCCACTGTTTCAGTGTCTGTCTTGTCCTGGGAAGACCAGAGCTGGAGGCTGCTCCTGATGCAGTCTCACAAATGCCAGAAAGAGGGAAATTACCAGGTCCCTCAATCTGCCGGCAGTGCTCCTGTTAAAACAGCCTGGGATGCTGTTGGCTGCCTTTGCTGCCAGGGCACACTGTTGGCTCATGATCAGCTTGTCCACAGGGACCTCCCGGTTTTTTTCTTGCAAATAGGCTTTCTAGCCAGTTGGCCCCCAGCCTGTGCTGTTGCATGGGGTTATTCCATCTCAGATGCAGGACTTTGCATCTTAATGTATTGAATTATAATTACAGAATTCAATGTATTGACTTATAATTTTGTGTTTGTAAGAATTAATGGCTTTGAGTTTGTCAGCTGGGAATAGCAGTGGCATGCCTTCTGAATAGCCCAAATAATGCAGAATTATGCAGAATATGACTCATTTCTGGATAGCCAGTTAAACAAAATCACCTGAAGCTGATGATACATCAGGTGCATCCTGGGATAAATAAATTACAGAAATCATAGTAAATTATGATTTAAGGATAGCAAATTGATTCCTGAAAGCAGATAATTTTTTCAGACTAGCAATGCTTCATTTTTGTTTTGTACATTTATAAATGAAGTAGGCTGTGCTAATTTGGAAGCAAAACCAACACTACTTTGTGGTTATTCTCTTTATGGATCATCTGACTATTTCCTGATAGATTACTATAGTGTGGAATGTTTTCATTAAAGAAAGAGTTAAAAATATACTTCATTCTGAGGATACTGAGATACCGTTTTAATATCTTCCAGGGTTGTCATTTTATGTTGAATGATTTTTGTATAATGGCTGTTCATGAGTATTGGGCTTTCATTGGTACGTATATTATGAGAATAAAAACAGAATTTTTATGTTGTATATCAATCTTTATAATAAAATATTTTATAGAATTTAAGAATTTTAGAATTATATCATTCGTTTTGGTTTGTGTTTTTTTGCAGTTATAGTGAAGGTGGTTTTCCTTGTGGTGTTAGCAAACTCCCTTAGAGGTAACACAAATCTTTATTTATGCCTTTCCCCCACTGTTAAGTCATTTGCCATTTTTAAGAATCTTGGAATTTGTCAGAAATGAGTTTGGGAGTATGAATTCAACAGATCTCTGTCCATGGTCTGCTGCAGCTTGCACAAAAGGGCTGTATGGCTGCAATGTTAGGAAAATTTGGCATATTGTAAATTAAACCTCAGCGCTGAAGACTCTCAGCTAGGAGATGTTGTCCAGAAAGCCAGCATTTCTGGTTCTGCCTATGATTTTCAGCTGATGACCCCTTTTGCTAATGAAGCGTGCAATCCTAATTTGGCACAGGTCAGAGGTAGGATGGTCCTCTTGCAGGTGAAATGTCATTTGCCACATTTTGCGGAGTATTAGTCGGAACCTATATTTGGTTGGCACCTGTGCTCCAAAACTGGCATCCCACCTTGCGAGAAGGCAGCATGCCACTCTGACAGATGGGGAGGAATGTGAGCATGCCAGCAAACCAGTGTATGCATCAAGGGGTCACATTTCTCTCCAGGAATGTTGAAATACCGGTACATGCAGAGCTTCTGTATCTGAGGCACACGTGTTTCTTGGCAACAACCAAAGTTCCTGCTGAATGTCTTGGCACAGGACGTAAGGAAGCTTAGTGAATTTTCATGGCTTTCATAGGGTTTGTACACCATGGGAGCCTACATATAATTTCTGCTAAGAATGGTGCTCTGAATGTAAACAGAAGAGGGAATATATTTTGCAAATTATTCTTTCTTATTAATAGATTAAGAACTGTTAAAATGCCATCATAGCTTTCATGGATAATGATTCTTTTGATTAGTTAATGGTTGGTTTATCCTGGTCTGAGAGCAATAGAACGTGTGGTTTGGCAATCAACCCAAAATGCGAATATCACAGCTTAAATTCTACCATTTCTTCTTTTGTACTTTATTTTATTTCAACTTAAAAGTAAATTCTGAAATCCCATCACACTTTTGTACTTCATCAAGAAATTAGTTTCTTTCTGTGTTTCCCAAAACGATAGACTGTATTAAAATTAACTCTGGATGTTCCTTTCTTTTGCTGAAGGTAATTCTGAATGGTTTATTTCAGTGTTTTTACTTTTTTCCCCCAGAATTACTGTAAAGCTTTCCTATTTCATCAGTGTTTTTCACATTTGAATGGCTGCATCAACATGAATCCTTTATAAGGACCTTAAAAACAAACTTTGCCAAGTCCCAGAATACAGAAGCTGATTCACATCCCAATACTCAGCTGCCTCATGAATAAAGGAGAGTCTGTGCCTGACACTTTGAAGCTGTAGCTGTTAAACCATACAGACTATTTACCTCAATAAATCATTATAAGAAACTAAGGTACAATTATACCCACAGAGAAATAGAATTCAAAACACTGATTTATGTGGTTCAGTGCTTGTTCCCTTTTCCATCATGTTTTGAATTTTATGCATGTTTGTCATCTTTGGCTGCTTCCATGTATCTTTAAACTAATGGGTCTTACTTTTTTAACATTCCTCATTAGGTTTGTTATTTTACTTTGACATACAGACATGATTTGCATGCTGTACAAAGTTTTGCATTTAAAATTAACTAATTTTTTTATGCTATAGACCAAAAATGGAAAATGCGTGTAATTTGTTTAAACGAACGTACACCCTTTTCTGGTTAATTTGTGACCATCTGAGCTGAAATTCCATATTAGTTGAGAATTTTTTTGGTGCTTATTTGTGGGATCTGAAGAGAAGTCACTGCACAAAAGGAATCTGTCATTGTGCTTTTCATAACGTGCCTGCTAATCTAGAGGGTTCTCAGAAAGAGATGGAAGCATAGGAATTTACATTTGGAGTCAGTTCTTCAATTTCTTTATCCATCCCCGCAGAGGCAAAATTAATCTAAAAGATAAAAAATAAATAAAGTGAAAGTTCAGCCTCAGAAGAAGGAATGGCACTGAAACCAACAAATGATTCCATATGAAATGGTAGGAGTAAGGTAAATATATCTAGCAAGGGAAGTCCGAGAACAGCCACAGACTCTGTTAGGCCACCCAAGCCTTTAAGAGCGTGTAGTGTTGTCCTGTAGAGCAACAGGGTGGGGAGTGATTTAATAACCACCGAATGTTCCTTACTAAAACTTCAGAAAGTTACCAAATGTTTAAAACAACATTTAAAATGTGAACAATAGTAAATATACTACAGTTCCAAATACTTTATGCCTTGCTAATAACTTTCAGTGCTGATACTTGGATGGATCTGAATGGTCTGGATTGAGGGTGTATCATGCAACCTGCCTGGTCCCAGTGATTTGGATTAGAGTAGTGCTCGTTTGCACTATTTGAGAGGGAGCTATAAATCCATCATTATTTTTGAAGTGATTTATAACATGAAAGTTTTTAGGCTATGTGTATATTTCATCTATCTAGTTAAAAAAAGCAGTGTCTGTTGAAGACAGGTTTGGCCATTTCAGACCATTTTTGCTTTACAGTCAATAACAGGAATTTGAGTGAGAAGTCCAAATGCTCCGTCTGTATTTTCATTATCTTACACTGAATTTCACAGGATATTTAATTCATAAGTGAATATGCATCTATACTCTGTATATAACACGAGTAGCAGCAAACAATCTTTTGCATACATTCTTTCATTTGCATATATATATATATGTATTTGAAGATATGCCTTACTTCTTGCTGAGTTTTTGTCTCTCTGAATCTACAGGCATTTTGTGAAGAAATAATATTATACCTAAAAATTTCCACATGCAAACAATGTTATTTATCCAACACTGAAAACTCATATATTCCATAACCTTGTGCCGAGTATTTTGAGTCTATAACATACTGCTTTTACAGTCTGTTAGTATTTAAAAGGTTTCTGTCATTATACCCATGTAGTTAATAATCTTTTTATACCACTGGAGCAGAGGATTGCTTAGAAACGTTGATGATGGTGGAATTTAACAAATCTTTGGATAGAGCATTCTACTACCAGCTATTGTCAGGGTGCAATGTGAGACCTCTTGCATTATCCAGACACAGAGGAACAACGTTTAGGAGCCTGGGAGCAGAAAAGCAGGACAACCACTTATCTCCAGAAGAAAATAGATATATTCATTCTCATCATCTAGTGTATTTCAATCTGATTTCAGATAGAAACACATCTGCAGTGTCTGTGCCAGTCTGTATCTCAGAAAATGTTGGCAGATTTGGATAGAATTTGACAGTGGGGCAGTGTTTGAAGCGTTTCAAGTTTCTGTGAGCTTTAGAAAAAAAAAAAAAAGGTGACTAGATAGGGAAAGGGAGTGATCCAGTGATAGATACTGCTGCAGAATGAATGCAGCAGTATCTATAGCCAGCCAGGCAGCTTGTCCTCACTGCTGTATGAATCATGTGCTGCGTCTTGCCCAGCTCCTATCTGAGTACCCCACTGCATTCCCTGGGGAAGCTCTAACGGGAACCAGAGCTCGTGGTGTTGCCTGTGGTCAGGGGAAAGTGGAGGGAGAGCCCACAGGGTGTACATGCAGCAAATGGCAATTACTGTGGTGGGAGCCACACGAGTGTGGAACAGCACAAGTCAGATGGAAGCCACACTATGAACATTTCCACTGCTTACGGAGCAATTTGTTTATTAAAACATTTTACAGCTGTTGAAATTCCATTTATGAAACTACATATTGTAGGTTTTTGTAATATCTAAATCTTATTTTTCCTCTATACCTAGAACAGTTTACTGCTCAGTTATAAAAATAGCAATGTCATCAGTGATTAAAGCTTCCTATTAGATATTTCCATTAAGAAAATTTCAAATTATTAGTGTTTCACATTGTTTTTATAGTTCAGTGCTACCAGGCAGGAAAGAACCATTACATTTTGCAATCTACTGAAAAAAACCTCATCCTAAGTTGAAGGAAATTCTGAAACATTTTCAACAGTTTCTGAAATTTCAAATATTTACTAGCATTTGTTGGCTCAGGTGATCTTGCATCTTTAGTCTTTCAGTTTTCTCAGCAACAGATAGAAATGCATCCTGAATGCTATTTAAAAGCATCCAAAGTTGGGGATTGTTTGCTGTGAAAATTACAGCACCTTCTCAGCTATTGGGATGCCACAGAAACTCAGGAAGTTGGTTCTGCCAGTACTCAGCTAGAGACCGACTATTATATCTGAAACTTTCCGTGAGCTCTCAAACAATACACACCAATAAAAAGTATTTTAAGTCCTAATAAAATCTCTTACCAAAATTTCCAAGGGCCACCTACTTTTCCAGCTGTACGTTCTGTTCTGAACATGGGTTCTAGAGCAGTGTAAGTATTTCACGTTATGTTTTATTGAAGTAATTGTGCAGGTGTAACCAAGATATGGATGCAACTGTAGTTGTACAGAAGGGTCGTGTCCATCTTCCCCAATGAGGAACTTCATATGTAGAAAGCAACCTTATGATCTCATCAGAGTGCAGGGTTTGAGCTGATTAAATGAAATCAGTGTAATTAAGCACAACTTTTGTATGTAGGCAAATCTTAAGCATTGCATGAACACAGAGCAGGAATAAACTTGCTTAGTTTACAAAACAGACTGTTAGTTGCAGCCTATCACAGGTGATCGGTTCTTAAATAATTATAATGAGTTAATGATGCAACACTGTGTGTGTTTAGGAGGGCAAGATATGTCCCAGGAAAACACTGTGAATGTTAATCCTAGGCACCTGAACCAATTTGTTGATGTTCCCTAGCATGATTTTTTTTTTGTGGCTAGTTTGCAAAAGCAGTGGCAGTAAGGAAGGACAGTTCTCTGCAGGTTTTTTCTAAGCTTGTCTTCTATTAGCAGATGCCTTTTGCTCACCAAAACTTTAAATTCAAACAAAGGTTCTTTAATTTTAGCAATGATTCTTCAGAATATCCAGGGATTACATATAATAGATTGTGAGTATAGCATGAGCAAACAAGGCATCAATAATAACCTTCTAGCATGGTTTTATCTGGATGTACTGAATTACAAAGAAAACAGTTTTGGATTTTTTCCTAAGTCTTGTGGATCACAGATTGCATGTTTAAAAGTGAAAAAGCAGTAGCCAGACAAAGGAAAAGAAACAACATAAAAAGCCTTACGTTTGCATGAGTTTCACTATGCTGAAATCCTGACCTCAAATCAATAAGAAATCCTTTATCTGACACATATTGAGGGATTATAGACTCAACATTTTAGAGGATGTGTTTGAACAGCATTGACATCAAAACCTTCTGAAAACTCCAGGTGGATTATGAACTGCGCACTGTTTATATCTGTAAGTACAAGCAGCTGAAGAGTTATTTCAGTCTATCTGTGCTACAGTTTTGCAACTATGCCACGTTTATTTCTTAGGCAATAATTATTAAGGAGTGTGTGTGGGGGTGTTTATGTTGGTCGAGTGGTTAAGGCATAAGGACTCGAGAGGTCAGAGTTTTTATTGCAGTTATGTGACAGACGTTCTTTGTGTGGGGGGTAAATCAAGTCCTCGTTTTGTATCGCTGTTTTTCTGTAGGTACAGCAGTGATGGCACATTGGCAGCACTCAGTGGGCCATTACAAGATGCGTTTTATTATTTTTGAAAGGTGCATGTGATTACTTGTAAAGCTACAGTAAGGCTGCACTAGGTGTTGGGATTTGAAAAATATTTCATATTGGGTAATGGTGCTCTTCAAAAAAGCTGATGTCTTCCAGGAATCTCTACTTAGTGAGTCTGAAAACCTCACTGAAGACATGCTGCTGAAGCAGTTGTATTTGAGGTGGACGAATATAGGCTGCTCTCTGCATTTTCAACTGTTTAAACAACTTTGGTTTGCTGCGAAGAGTGTTAAAGATGCTGAATGTATCAGTGCAATAGCCATTTATTTGGGTGCTTTGTGAGTGATGTAACTTATTCTGGAACATTTACAAAAGCGTTTATTGGATAATCTCTTCCCCTAAATTGTTCTTCCCCTAAATTGTTTATTTGCTAAGCTCTTACCATATATTCTGTGATATAAGGAAGGGAATAGATTCAAATGTGTGCTAAAGACAGAAAAAAACCCTTGAAGATAGAAAAAAACCCTTGAAAACAGAAGGGAAGGAAAATTACTGTAATGAACAAACCATTGGACTATATCACACGTTATAAACTCAAGGAAAAGCTCTAATATTTGATTTAGGAGACATCCATTCAAGAAAGCCTTTTGGAGTCTGCACAGTTTTCTGTCAATTATTTTAACAATTTCAACTCTCTGTTCTCTACTGATGGCCAACTGTCCTTAAATGGAGAAATGCAGAAGAGCTAGAATTTTAAAGAGGAACTTAGATAATGAATGTCTGTTTTCCCCTTGATATTGAGGAGGAAAATGTTTTGCATATTGAAAAAAAAAACCCTGTATGATATAGAAGGATGTTTCAAATCCTAAAATTAGTCTTCTGTTAATTTTCATGTCAAATGTGAAGAGACTTACCACTGGCAGCAATCTAGTTAATGCAAATCAGGAGAACTGTGGACTAGTGAAAGTAAAAAGGAACAGCCCTGTATCTGCTGTTATAATATTCTTTCTGTTTGACAAGTCTATGCATTTTATTTCATATATGTAGTTTCTGTTTTAAATGAGCTTTCTGAGTGTTCTCCTTGACTACCATTGAGAAATACAACATTTAGTTCTGTTTTACAGTTATGGGGCTTTAAAAAAAAAAAAAAAACAAAACCACGGAAAATTTAAATCTAGATTTTCTCATGTTTCTGTCAGGATAAATGAAAACTTTTTGTTTTAAGGACTGACAAAGTTCAAACACATTTCATGTGTGATCAGACTTGAGCAGCTAAGTTTTTATCATGTCCGAGGCTGTGTAAGGGAAACTTATTTGGAACTGTTTATTGTTCTGGCTGGTGTCCTTAGGCAACAACAATGACAAAATCTCTGCTGAACAAAACAACAAAACATGTAATTTGGTGATAGTTGAAGTACAATGGTGGGCAAAAATGCCTGCAGAAATACAGCAGAAAGGAAAAGGGTAAGTTACACCTAAAATAAAATCTTACCTTTTGTTGAAATATTGTTCTGAATTTACCCATCAGGGACAGCAGGTGCAGTGCTGCAGAATCCTCTCAGGGCTTTGGTGGCTCTCGTACATCTGTATGGAGCTCAACAGAATAAATCGTTTATCTCGTTTAACATCTCTGCCAAACAGCGTTGCCATTATTTAAAACTATCAGTTTGTGAATACCTGGCCTCAACAGCAGCTTGCTGGCTGCAGTGGTGATACCTGTGTGTGTTTGAAGCAGGACAAAGTTGTTGGTCAAAGGTGACAACACAGAGGTGAGAAGGGGAGCTTTGTCTGAAGTCGTGTTAAGGTGTGGTGCTATATCTTGGAGTGGGCTTTGGTTTTCCAATTTCCATGAGTGTTTTGACCTTCTCTGAGCTTACATCTGTACTACTGATCAGTTTTGCTTTGAGTGCCGTGAAACTTGTCGCTTCTGTCGTGGAGACAAGGATTAGGATTAGAAAAATAGCCAGTGGAAGAGAGCATTGCACAGTTTGACATAGGAAGAGGTGTGTCAGAAAGACCATGAAAAACACTTTTTTTTTTTTTTGCTGTGCTGGTCCCCATTAGCTTTTTTTTTTTTAATTACAGGCACTAATTTCACTTGTAAGTGTTAGAATGCTCTGAATTGGTTTTACTTATGCTGGTGTTATTTTTGAGATTAAAAACGTTAAAACACTTAAACAAAAAGATAAATCTACTATTCAGATAGAAGGAAAATATTTAGTTTCTATTATTGGAAATGTAATCAGCAAAGGTTTTTCTTGAAAAAAAATTTATAGTAAAACTTGTAATTGTGTATTTTCCTAAGTCTTAATTAACAGCTCACTAATAGGTAATTAGTGTGGTCAAGCAAGGTATTTTTTTCCTTTTTCAGAATGTTTAGATTTCTTCAGAAAGTATAATCATTAATGTATTCTATATATGTATTTGTCTTCCTGTGTCTCCCTGCACATGAATATAGATACATATATATATATAACCAGTTAAGAATGCAAATGTGTGTGTTCTGTAATATAATTATTATAATGCAGTGGGATTAGATGTATTATGTGCTACATATTTCTTGTTAGGTGAATGTGTGAACTAAAAATTAGGAATACAAAGAGGATATTAATGCTAGAAATTAATTTCCCTTGTCATAACTATGTGATTTCCATTTTAAGATGTCAAAGGAAACATTCAGGTTATATTTTCTTTCCTTACTCACTAGTTAAAATTTGTTATTTTAGATTTTCTGTCATACACACTGAGTGAAAAAATATCTTTCTTACTAGCAATAATAGCAAATAAGAGATGCTTGACAGCTGGTGCTTGGGACTTGCTGCTTAGCCTGGTAATGGTCAGGTTTTAATTTGAAGAAGTGAGTAGACATCTTAGATATATTGTTTATCTCGTTCTGGGTTTTAATAAAACTGAAGACCTGCAGAAAAGCAACAAAGTCATATGCATGCAGACAGGAATACTGATGTGTTAGAGGACAGTGAGATCTGGTGTAACAGAGTGCGAGATCTGGTGTAATTTCTGGCTCTGCCACAGTCTTCCTCTGTGACCATGAGCCATTTGCTTACCTTCTCTTTGCCCCACATTCCATACCTTTATTTAGGCATTACATTCTTTTCTCACGCCTTCTGTTTCTCTTGTCTGTTAAGCTTTGGACTTTTCAGGATAGAATCTGCCTTTTACTGTGCATCTTCTGTCTATGAGTAGTGCCTGCTAGAATGGGATGCAGTTGTAGGTTAGGCTTTCTAGTCTTTGGTCATTTTGTATCACAGCTAAAAGTGACTAAATTTATTACATTGGGGTGATAAAAATGGATTCTGAATTTTGAACAGCTAAACAGAAGTAACAATCCTTTCCATATGTAATGAAATTAACATACAAACAACATCTATTTTTATCTTTGATGGTGGTTTTGTTATTCTTGGACAGCAATATAATTAAGTTCATTTTGCTATCAATGAAATTAGTATTCACAATATTAAAAGAACAATTATTTTTTAGGTTCTTTATACTTTTTAGTGATGAAAAAAAGTAAGGAATTCTAAATATAAGGTTACTGTTTACTTATTTGGAAGTATGTGATAATATATTGAAGTATATTAAAACTGCAACCTGAAAGGCAAATATTGTTGCACAATTTTTTCTTTGCAATCTGCTTTAATGAAGTCTCTGTGTTCAATAGACACCTGGAAGCAAGGGGAAAGTCATTGATAGAGAAGTTGTTTATTTGGCTTATAAGTCACCTTTCCAACTTTAGTTCATAAACTTATGGTAAAAAAAAAATTACTTGAAAATGTTTTTCTTGGTAAAGGCTAAGATAATAAGGTACAGTGCCTACTGGAATTATGTATATCTGTTATTTTTGTATGGTATGAGTAGCAGATTGGAACCATAACTGTTTCCATTTTAAAGTATAACTTTTCAGTGTGTCAATAGGTAACTGCTGTGTTTTTAAAATAACCTTAAAACTGTAAGAAAGACACCAAGAAACAGTTTGTAACTATTTGTAATTTAATTGAGAATTCTTAACTTCAAATTTTCAAATGTATAATTCCTGAGAAACATGCAGAGAGTATATATACTTGTAAATACTTTTAATAGTTGTGCAGGAAAAGATGTCCTAGTACAGGACAGTGTGCATAAAACATTAACCTTCATTGTAGAGAAGTTTTAAATTTACACACTGCTTATAAGCAACCCAGTTCATATGCTTGCATTGTAATTAGTTGATTTGTAATCCTGGTGACCATTTAGGATGGAGGAATTTGTTTGGATTTCTCTTTGTTGTCTACAGATTTAACCTTTTATCTGTCTTTCCTCAGGAGAGCTAAGATTTTGGGTGAGTTTAAGATGGGTTCAGTCTGTTAAAAAAAAAAAAGGCAACCTTAGTTTCTAGTGTCCTGACTTGCTGGTTATCTACTTTACATATTTTATAATACTAAAATAGGGCAATTTATATTTGCTGCACTGATATGCAATTGCAAATCTTTAATTCACTGTGTTTTGACTTTTTTTTTATAACTTCCTTTTTATGGTACCAAAACATCTCATCAGGCAAAGACACATTTCTTAAGGTATTACAGGAGTTGAGTGACAATCCAGCAGATTTTAAAAAATCACTGATTACCCATGAATTATCCCAGTGACCAACACTCAATAAATAGGACATTTGATATCATGAACTCAGTACAAAAGAAGATCAGTGATCTCTGCCCACTTGTAATAATGTTTTAGATTTTAGGTAAGAAAAACGTTACTTTTTTGGAATACTATAAATGATTTAGTAAATTAAGGTGGTTACTTTATAATTGTATTATTGTAAATCATAATTTGCTGTGATGTAGGAGTGTAAGGAAGCATTCTGGACTGAACAACCCCATGGTCCACAGCATGGGGTAGCTGCAAAACACTGCCTGTATCATCTGCTCTGACCAGAGCAGTTCCAGGCTTCACTGCAACCTGAAAGGCAAATATTGTTGCACAATTTTTTCTTTGCAATCTGCTTTAATGAAGTCTCTGTGTTCAACAGATACCTGGAAGGGGAAAGTCATTGTTGTACACATTGTTGTACAACACAGTTGTACACCCACACACACTGATTAAACAGACTATTGGTTAAAATCTGGGCACTCCACTCGGTGATGACTGGCTTGGACAAGAGCTGTAGTTTCTAGATTAAAGTACTGTAGATAGGAAAGAGATTCTGTGGTCTTTGTATTCTTATTCATATGTTTTACTACCTTCATGCTGTTAAGAAGAAACGATGCTTTGTTATGTTTTGTTTTGTTTTGTGGGAGGGTTGTTTGTTTTTTTAATAAAAATTAAAAAATTCCCTAACGAAATACGTTGAATCTAATGAATCAGATGTTGAATTTAGTGAAGTCTATCCACTAAGTGTGGCTCAAACCTTGGGCTGTGCTCCTGCAGGCAGTTTGAGTTCAACAGACTTGATCTGCTGGACTAACAAAACTTCGGTTCTGAGGACTGCTACCAAATGTGTATAAACAAAGCTGAGCAGAAAGACATGGGATTTGCAGGTGTTATTGTAGCTGTATACCCAAAGCCCGCTCCCAGGCTCAGAGATGCCATCCTATTCTTCCCCAGGCCATGTATCTTTCCCTTCCCAGGTTTCTTTCTGCTTGCTCAAAAAGACAGAAAGTATAGCAATGCTGCTAACAACAACAAATGAATACACATCCAAACTGGATTAACTGAACTGAACTTTGCTTTTATTATTTGGGCCAGGGTAGGCCAGTTATCAAATCTTCAGAAATCGAGTTCCTTACCTTTCCCCTCAGTAGCTGTACACATGACCAACAGAAAATCCCACATGAAACTTCTATTTTTGAGAATTTTTATTTCTAGAAAACTATCAACCAATAATTCTCCAAATCTGAAAATTTATTGATTGCATGTGAATTACTTTTCCTCTCTCTTCTCTTCTTTGAATTCCTCTGATAGCTGTTTTCCAGCATTTCCCCCTGTAAGGAAGTATCCTTTGTACTCTTTCCTCAGTGCTCTCCACTGCTGGCCTCCAGAAGCAGGCATTTTTATCCCATCATGTGATCCAATGTTTCTGCTAACCTTTAACATAGCCTGACTACTCTACTTAAGTTTTGTAAATCTTTTTTGTGTCTTCATATAATTTATACTTATTTCCTAAGTTGTCAGCAGAAGAGAGGAAGATACTACAACAGTGGGAGCACAAATGTGTCTGTAAATACTGATTTATCTTAGATTCAAAGACCTGTCTGCTATCAGTCTGTTAGAATCCTTCATTCTGGGCCTTCTTGGCGAGTCAGGTAGTCAATATAAACCTCTCTAATATTGTTTTAGGTGGTTTCCTCTAAACCAGTTACAGATTTTATCTTCCTTCCAACCAGTACAAGCTGCAAGGGGAAAGCTAAACCTACTGGCTAATATCTATTTATTTCTGTACTTGCAAGTAGCCTATTCTCTTTCAGGAATTAACACACCAATCCTTTATAATTTCCCTGAAGCTTTTGTCTGCAATTTCCAAATCTATCTTTTACAAGGATTTTTTTTTTTAATATTGTTACTGTAGTCAGCATATTAGACTCTGTTTCTTTTATTTAC